CCCCCCCCACGTGTAAGATTATATTAGTTGAACGTTCCCTTATTTTGGAGGCGACCTCGGTCGAATCTGTGATAATTTTTTCCATGAATAATACACGTTTAGCTTTGAAATTAAAATACATCAAAGATTTTGTCATCTATTTCGTCAAAGCAGAGTAGAAATAACATTTCAATGGCATTAGAGAACCAAATTTTTTTTTCAAACGCGAAACAAATTACAAATAAACCAAGATCAAATAATATATTAAAAAACTCATTGTGAATAGGCTAAGTGAGCGCCCCTCGATCTTCCGACAGAATTGGGAATAGTGTCTTGGCCGTGATAAAATAAATTTGTACGGAGTTGCCGCCAGTTTTTAGTTGTTGACGTAAATTCAATCCAGCAGAGACTTCGCGATGAGAGTTTATCGTTTATTTTGTTGTTGTCTTTGTTGTCGATCCCCTCCCTCTTATCCATCCATAGCAGACAAACCTGACAGAAACAACAGATCAGTGTGAGTGTGTGATCCCGTTTATTTGTGATGTTCTCTCACGGCCGGTTTTTCTGAACCGTCTTCTTTCTTGCCAGGTTTCATCATCGTGCTTTAAAATAGCTCTACGTCTACTCCTTGGACAGGACAGTTATTCCAGGATATCTGTGACTACTGCCGTCTGGCACTTTATCGTGTTGAGAGCGGCGGCATTACTCACGCTGGAACTGGAAATCGAAGAGGTACCGAGCGCCGCTTCCGTGGGACGTCAATACATAGGTCAGTGACCATTGCAGGTTTGTCAGTACTTTAAATTAGAAGCATTAGACAAAACTGTCTCACGACTGAGAGTATTGGTCTAGCTATAGACAGCTGAACAGTGCTGTTGACTGTTGACATAGATCTATATTTTTTCTCTTCTTGCGCATCAATATTTAATATCTGGCAGTCTCCGGTTTTTGGAGCTGTCGAGGTGTAAGGTACGTAGGCTTATTTTACTTCATGAAAAAATAATCTGTCCTGTGTTTATATAGATATCTAGATCTAGTTTAGATCTATAGCTTATTTATATAAATTAAAAGAGAAAACTAGTACTCCCATCACCCTTTACCCCACAATGCTGCTTCCTTAGCTATTTTATTTTGTCATTAAATTGGAGGCTTTTACCCCTGTTTATGTTTGCAGTTATTTGGGGGAAAAGCCACAGAGAACCCAAACAAATTAAATTGTGAAAGTACCAGCATTTCTAACTTTCAAGAAACAGAACCAAAAATAGATCTATATCAAATTGCACAGGCCTAATACACTTTAAAATTTAATTTTAATTTTTAGTGCTTTAGGCCTTTATCTAATCATTACATTTGGCATAAAAAAAGAAAGAGTGAGTAGGCCTATAAAATAAATTACAAAAATAAAAAAGCCAAAATTTTAAATTCCTATTTTCTCAAAAATATCATATATGGTAATGACACTTAATAAAATCTGGTTTTCATGGGTAAGGGAGTTGGTGGGTGGATTTTGGTGACCAAAATTATTTCAATTAAATGAGGTCCTTTGAACTGTGACTCTCCGGACCCTGTCCCCACACATCAGACCCACCCCACGCCACACAAGGTTTAAAACGACTCCCTCTCAGTCTGGGTTGTAACGGATACCCAGCTTTCCACAATAAGAGGTCTGCTGTGAATTTTCTATTATCACACAGGGTCTTTGTGTGTAAGAATGTTTAGTGATCATATTAACGCCATTTTGTACGGAGATAATGTTACTCTTGAGAGACACTACGACTGTTTCACAGCTTTGTATCTTCTCATTTAAGGATTCATCCATGGTTTGTGCTCCGGTTTGAGCTAGGTTGTTCAGGCCCAGTGTTCCTCATCAACATACAGAGAGCATATAAACAGTAGAAGGCGGGACAGATGAAATATAAATTATAATGTAAAATTTGTTAAAATCAGCTGTGATGGAACCCAGTTTACAAGCGCTTGTCTCGTCCAAATACCTCTCATTTCGGATCACCTCTGTACTTTGTGGGTACTTGGTGGGTACTCAGATGTGGTTTGCTTCTTCTTTCCTATCAAACATCCGTCGTCCTTATGAAATGTACTCTACATCTCTAATCTTCTGCCTTTATTTGATCTAATTGCGTTGCGAGTGCCGTAAAACGCTGTTGAAAAACACAACTTTGTACTGCTCTTGTTTTGATTACAGTTGAACTAGTCACAGCCTAGAGTCTTATGTAATTTAAAAAAAAAAAGAGATAGAAGTCAAAGCAAACTAAAGTCATATCATCTGTTCCCTGCAAGGGAGTTGCTGCATGTACAGACAAGCCACAAAAATAGCAAACAGCACATAGCGAAACATGCATTGTGAACTGATTTTCTGGCCCAGAATTTTTACTTATATATTCTTTGTATTTTAAAAATTATATAGAGCAAAATTTGTAATATTAATGAAAATATTTACGTGTCCAGCTGATTTCACTTTGTGTGTGCTAGACAGTTTATAAGATCAAACATAGCACTATGCTGTGGTATAAAAATAATATTTTTTATATTTGTAAAATTGGTATACCTGACTAATGTGTCTAGATTGCTTAGACTATTTCTTTGTAGTTCAAACCCAGGCTGAGAGTTTTATCTCTATAGGGCACCCCAGAAGGAAGAGTGAGTTACTCAATAAAATGTTACCCTTCCTGGGATTTGAACTAAGTTAATAGTAACATTTGCGGAGTTAAACTGTTAACTTCCTATTGTCGGTTTTCCTTCGGTTCCTGACAGAGAATAGGAGAATCAGTCAATCGATTGTATATATTATAATTATATTTCATGTTTTCCTCTTGACAGGGTTTTTCGGGGTGCCACGAACAATTGGTGTCATATTAATTGTTGTTGTTTATGTTTAATACTATATTTGATGGCCATATTACACACCTTGAAATCCATTTGATACTTAGATGTAACCAAATGCTAAATTAGGTTTGTCTTCAGGCTATCTTATGACGAGGTATTATTTCAAATTACTGTTTCTCCCCTTTGCTCAAATCCTTTTGTCTAGACCACCTGATCTGCTAGCTCTGTTGTTTTTATATTAGTTAGGAATGGCTGCACACTTTTCTGAAAGGGATTTGACTATGTGTTTATATATAT